CTTTGTGTTGTTTTGTTTGTTTGTTTGTTTTTGGTGGTTTTTTTTGGTTGGTTGTTTTTTTTGGTTTTTTTTGGTTTTTTTTAATTTTCTTTTGGGAGTATTTGATTAGTCCCTAAACTATAAAATAGTCAGCTTGTATCTATTTAATTCTCTCTTCACCCACCCCCACGCCCTTGGTGCCCTGACCAGCCAATGCCTTTTTTCTCTTTTATGGATGCTACACTCCAGATGCTCTGGCTTGTTTAGGGCAAGTAATTGAGCTGTGATTTTTCACAGCTTGCAAGAGAGTCCCGTGTGAAGCATGTTACTGCAGTGTGAGAACATCCCACTCACTTCCTGCTGCCACTCAAGGACTACTTGAGTGTTATCTGGTTGAAACTTCAGGAGAGTGAGTGTACCTCCTGAAGATCCCACTTTATCCAGTGCTAATGACACTCTGACTCAAACATTTGCTTCACAATAGGCAAATAGAGAGGGAATTTTCAGATTTTCAATTTTCAGATACCGGGTCCTTTCTGGAGGACTACTACCTGAGATCCCAGGTTGACAGAAACACCTCAAGGGGATTTTCTTAGAAAGATGACATAAAATCTTTAGCAACACTTCCTTCTCCTGTCTGCATTTCTTTTGGTACAATGTCATCTGCTGTTTAAGATCAACTGATTCAACTGATATCCTTGGATCTGAGCAGCTACCTTCACACAGTTCTGTGCAAAAAACCCCAAAAAACCCCAAGAAAAACAAACAAACAAACAAACCAAAAAAAAACCCCAGTTTTGTTCAGGACTGTCCTCATGTTCAATATATTTATGTATATATATATATATATATACCAACATTAAAAAAGCAATGCCCTGCTTGCTGCTGGATTGATTACACAGCATGAAGCACCACACCAGTAGCAGCAAGCAAGATTAGAAGTGTTCAGGGGGCTGCTGAAGAGCGTGCTGATCCATCATCTTGAAGGCTGCTTTAAAGCTGCCTTCAAGCACCAGCTAACATGAACTCCATCAGTGAGTGGCATTAGACAAAAGTAGCTATTGGGCAAAAGACTCAGTTTTGAAGCAGAACCTGTTTTAACACAAGGTGACTGAATGCTCTTGCAGTTGCACCAGCCATACAGTAGAAGCTGGGTTATTTTCAATCCCTTTTCTAACAAACTGACTCATTGAGAGCTGCAGTTGTCATTGTTTCATAAGGCCAAAACACTGGAGCTCAGAAAACTTGCTCATAATTAAAGGTTGGGAAAACAGACAAAGCCCAGTTAAAGCTGTACTTAGTGTTAAAACATCTGGGTGAAACAGTGTCAGTGGAAGACAGCCTCATACTTTGTGTACTCTTCTTTTTACCTCTCATTCAGTCAGGCACAGCTCATTGTCAGCTGAAGTGCAGAGCACAACTTCTGTACAATTTCACCACTGTGCTCCAGTGTTGGGAATCTGCCGTTCACTCACATTCTCATCCTACCCTGACTGGAGGTAGCTACGCCCCCAGTTCCGTGTTCCCCCCCAGGCCAGGCACATCCTGCACCGCTGCTGACAGAGCCCAGCACGCTGCAGCTGTGAAATGCCCACTCGCTGTCCTGGACTGGAACAGCACATCCTGTTCTGATAAGGCCTTACTCTTTAATGAAGTATCTAATACCTTTCAAGGGCTTTTGGAAATAGAGCTCATGATAAATAAAGTGATTTCACATGTTAGGTCAATACTTCCTACTTCAGACTTCCTGATTTTAGTAACAGGCCAGGAACCTTTTAGGTTTTTAGTCTACTTCTTAGCACTAGCCGAACAGAACTGCCCTTTAAGAGCACAAAACTAATTGCCAAAATTAACAGTAATTGTTTCTCATGTTTCTTTTCCTTGCTGGAAACTTTGCACTCCTGGTAGTTTCCAGATCGGGAAGAGCAGAACTGACTCAGGGCAGTTTGGCCCTGATTCTACTCCAAATAAATGTTTTAAATTATCCAAAGGGCTGTGAGCTCCATGGTTTCCAGAACAGCCTGTCTTCTGAGCACTTTAGGATGTTTTTTCCTCTGGTCTTTTTACTCCAGACAGAACTTCCCTTGTGTCTGAGCTTCAGTCTTTTTCATGCTGCCTTTGCAGTCACCCTTGCTGCCCAGCTTTTGACCTTACATTTCCCCACACTCAGCTTGTCCTCCCAGCACACTGCAATGTTTTCAACCCCATCTAGATTTGCATGCAAGACTGCATGTGCTTTGTCAAAATCTCATTCCTTTTTATTTTTACCTCATCATAAGATCTTAAGAGGTCTGTCCTCTTCACGATTCTGTGATGGTGGATGCTTCTGTCTCATTACCACCTCAACCTCTGCTTAAGAGATTTTTCAGTGCATGCCAAGAGTGACAATACCATAAAAGCTGGAGAGTAGGTACCTTGGGAAAAGGCAGCAAAAGCCATCTTGTACATGTACTTACCATACACAGAGGTTTCTTTAGTTGTACCAAACTTTTGTCTAGATTTTATTTCACCCAAGTTCTTGTCAATTGCAATTACGGCTTCTCTTTAAGTCAGCCCTTTTGCTTTCTTTAAGTAGGTAAAACAAAATGAAGGTGCTCTCCAAAATTACCCTGGAGAAAAAAGATAATACGCTCAGGGAGTGTTTAGGCTTTGGACAAAGACATGATTTTTCCCCTCTTAGCAAACTGAAAACTGTGTGTCAAAGATCTTCATAATTCAGGTGGTTTCACTGGAACTGGTGCTTAAGGGGAAGTTCTGCCAAAACAAGAACTATGAATATTTTAATAGTGGCCAAGGTTATTTGCATTATCACAAGGGAATGGCTCACACATTTGGGGGGAAGTGTGTGTGTGGGGGGGGGGGTCAGGGAAAGGCATCTAAATTACTTGTGTTTTGCCTTGTCTTGTTCAAAAGGAAATGTTCTTAAACCAGAATTTTTTATTCCTACCCTCCCTGATTAAACCACTGCAGACTATTATCATCTCAGAATTAATTTCTGCTTCTATCCTCCATGGAATCAATTCCAGTGTAAACAGCTGCTGGGTAAAAGAGGTGGCACATGACCTTAAGCAGCTCCCTTCACCTTGAAGTTACTGCTAGTTTATCTTCCCAAGCTCGATTTGCAGAGAAACAGGCCCTGGCATGTCAGGAGCTTAACTGCTTATTCTTTATTTTCACGCAGTAAGAGACTTGTTTGTTCAGTTACTCAGAGGGAAATTGCATACAAACCAAGCTGAACATTTCATGACCTTGTGTGGCTCTAGAAGTACTCAAAATTTTAAGAACAAAGGAGTTCCTGGAGATTCCTATTCAGGAGATCTGGATCTTTGAAATTCTGCTGGTGGCACCAGGAAGGCAGTGGCCTAACAAGATTTTGTTCCCATAAAACAAGCTGGAAAAGGGCTCCCTTGGTTAAATAAATGGGACACTCATATTTTGTTGCATACAAAATCTTTATGCTAGAAGGAATATTAACTAAAATATACAGTTCTTACTCTTTTAATGGATGGATTCTGATAAACGCTACTGTACAGAATTGGCAGCTGTGCCACTGAGTCATAAGTAAATTTACTGTGCTAGTGTCTGTTAATGCTTTCTGGCAATGGAAGGGTTCATTTTTACTTGGCTTTAGCTCAGAGGAATATATGTAGTCACTGGGGCTTGCCTTACTGCTAATGAATGGAAACAGGCACCTTACAGGGACAGATATATCCAAGAATAGTAACATTCTTGTTCAGATCCATGCAAGAACAGTGTTACAAAGGTATGGGTGTAGCATAAACAGCAGCTGCTCTTATGCCTGATACCTGGAAACTCAAAACGTAGACATTTTTCCAGCTTTTTGCTATCTAGTGAATTTTCAAGTGGGTGGCACTGCATAACCCTTGAAAACAGTTTCTATTCTCTGCTGCAATACAAACCCACGCTGTTGAGAAGCCAGGTTTCATCTGCAGTGAAGCTTCTGGTAACACAGGCTCTGTGTGCAGTAGATTTTGGCACAAAGACTGTATCAAGTGGAGTCATGAACACACAAGTTCAGAAAAGGCAAGGGGAAAAGAACTACAGCAGACAAATCTTGAAAAAAGCGTATTTATTTTAAAGTACAACCCAAAGTTGTATCTGTAAGAAATGCACATGGTATCTTGTTTCTTGCACAAGTCTTGGCTGTGTGCATTTCACTTCAACTTAAAAATGCGTTCAGGTTTACAAATGTACAAACAGCATAAAGTGTATTACAGTCTCAACAGAATGCTCTTACATTCAGCCACTTTGCTCTTAAGGTTTTATGTTGGTTTTGTTGGTATTTTTTGTTGATTTTTTCCTTTTTTACATTCTTACAACCTGTGTTAACAAAGACAGCCTTATTTTAAAAAAATACTCTGCATTTTAGCACAAAGTGCCTTTTGATTTTAAATTAGAACTTGGAGGATAACACTGGAAAAAAATTTAAAAACCCAAACTTTTCATGAAAGTATTGCATGCCAGGACCATTTTAGAGTTCAAATTGTTTCCTAAATAAAGATGGCAGATGGTAAAATATGAAACCAGTGAAACTGTTCATATTTACAGGCTTTAGCCATAGTTGGGGTTTGTGACCACACCCAGACATTCCAAGCTTATCTGCAATCTCACACTACCATATTGCAGGACAGACTTTAAAAAGGAGCGAGTGATGAAAGCATGACTGATGGGGGAGTGGGGCTGGGGGAAGCAACAGCCTGAAAATGATGTTTCAAAAATTTGCATTCAGAATTGTATCATGACCCAGACCAGAGTTCTTTCTTTTTGTTTTAATTTTCATGAGGATAGTGTGAATTTGACCAAGGATCTGAACTTCTTCTTCCAATTGTGGGGCTCCAAATTCTCCAAGGATTATAGGTCTGTCCCATGTCTTCAGCAGGATTGGCAACAGTGGCAGCAGCGGGTGGTGGCGGAGCAGCAGCAGAGTTTTCACTACCCATGAGATCAATGCCTGACAAGGCGTTTGTTGGAGTGGTGAAGGGAAGGCCACTGTTGAGATTACTTGACCAAATGGAACTGCTGAATGGAGTGGTGGACCACAGGCCACTGGGGTTGCCCAGGATTGACTGCAGTAAAGACAGAGCAAGGTAAGTGGTGGTTTGGTAAGCCTCAACTTCCACCTTGTTTACACCCCCCAAAAGAAAAGTATCCAAGCAGCAGCATCAAGAAGCCTGCTCTGGAACCCCTTCCATGCTCACTGCAACACAGAGCTCTGACCTGCCTTTACAAGAGCTTGCCCAGAGGAGCCACACTGCAGTTCTGCAGCTGGATGCTCCGGGAGCTGCACAGGCTGCAGGGCGCAGTCGTGTTACAGCTTTCGAGCCGTTCTCACCGCAGCTGAGAGTCTCCACAGCAGAGCTCATTTAAGCACTATGAGTATTCAACACACAAGGGCCAGAATGCTTATGCTTAAACAAACTAGTTAGAATGAGGTAGATAAACATGGTTTAACTCTCAAAAAACAAAAAAAATCAAATTGCAATGGAAGATAACAGCAAAGTCCTTTTTTCATCTTTTTTGCTATTTGCAAATTTATTGCCCTGTAGTCAGACCCTGTTGTTTTGGATGAATCTACTCGTGCTCAGTCCCACTGTGCCTATTCCATATTCCCAGAATTTCTTCAGATGAAGGGAGAGGGAATAGGAGAACTGGCCATTTTTCACTGAATTCCATAAAGTCTGTCCTGGCTCCAAGACACTTAGAAGTCTCTGACAAATGGTCATGGTGCAGATGCAGGTGAGTTCCAGCATATCACAAATGCATCTGAGATGTATAGGACAGGTACAGCAAGCCTAGAGAATATATGCAGGAACACAAGGCCCATGTTTTGTCAACTATATTTTACTAAGGTCCAAACAGTAGTAAACAGCAAGCAGGGAAACCTGACCCATAGTGTGGTGGAAAGTGATACCAGGAAGCAGCCAAAGATGGAGATGAGAAAGGTTAGCATAACTTTCTGCTAATATTAGCACAGAACCTGCCACATGCAGGCTTCTGGCACTACATAACCCAGTGTCAACAGATTTAATGTACATATGCTGTAAATTCAATTTGCAAATACACTGGAAACTTGATACACCCAAAAGGCAGCAGACTTGTTGAGTAAGTGCTGTTAGGTACAAGCATCCTTGTGTTTGGATTTAGTGGCTGGGCACCCCTTCCCAAGATCTCTGCCCTTAGATAACACACACTAAGGGCTAACTAGTATCAGTATACCCTGCATCTGAAGATTTAAATAAAAATCACTTTAGGAAAGAAAACAAGGTAGAATCTGAAAATTTCTTCCTTTTAAGTTTTTATTCTCTGCTCTGGAATGAAGAAGACAGGCTCAGTCTAATCATACCTGAAACTGGCTGGATGTTACCACACCACAGAATTTGCTACCAAGGGCTGGACAGAAGTTCTGAGCATTACCTGGGGGTTAACCAGGCCAATGACATCAGGATTCTACGATGTCACTGAGAAACTGAGCCAGACCAGGGTCACAGTGTGCTACTGTCACATAAATAAATGATTATATTTAAGCTATACCAGCATTAGACTACTAAGCCTACAGCATGAAATGCTCATTCTGCTGCTCGGGAACCCACCCTAACACACTAAAACTCCACCCCATTTCCTGCTGCAGGTAAAAGGCAGGAACTATTTGTTCCTACTGGTCCCAAAAGTGTTTGGGAGATCATGGTAGAAAAACACTTGCTCATAAATCAGAAGCAATCAGGAAGGGAGCAGCAGACTAAAGCATCTGCTATGCTCTTTCAAGGCTGGTGGAAGGAGGTACGAAGTGGCTGGCAGGAAGAACTACACACAGAGAAATAGAGTAACAGGGAATAGGAAAATGTGGTTAGAAAGAAACCTGGGGAGAAGTACCAGCAAGGCAGCAAGTCTGAGGGGAGATGGGATCCAGGAGGCAAATGCTACTTAGTACAGAAGCAGAGTTGTGCACAGAAGGAGAAAGCAAGAGGAATAAGGAAGGAGAACAACCAAAATCAACTCCCCAGAAACCTTCCTAAAAAAAGGGTAACACAGGAGCCACTGCCTAAGCGGTGTTTGCAACAATGGCTTTGGCTCTTGTTCCAGAACAGAGGAAGGGGCAGGGCCCTGGCCTGGTACCTGCTCTCTTATCAGGCACCTAGAGCAAGGAGGCTCAGTAACAGGAAAAGCTAAGCTTTCCTGTTCTGGCTTGCCAAAAGCACTTGAAAATCATTTATAACAGCTTTGAGTATTTCAGTCAGTTTGCTGCTCGCTTTTTGTTTATTATGTGATCTCCTTGAGTAAGCTTCTAAAATATCTCCTTCCTAATCAAAGTACTTAAATGGAGTACCTGACACTTCTTCTATACCATTTGTCTGGCTTCCATCTTGATGCTTCCTAAAGCACACTTCTAAATATTTTTTAGAAGCAGCTAGGAAATACGAGTTAAGAGCTAGAGAGCTTGTTCTGGTTGTCATCAAGCCCTTCCTCTATCAAATGCTGAGAAACCTGCCCTCCATGTGACCAAAATCCAAACATCTTTGCTTACATAGTTTCAGTGAGGTTCCAGCTCTGGTTGGAACCACATGACAAGGGTGGGATCTGCAAGCCTGTGTCTGTAAGAAGCTGTGTGACCTTCTTTGGCTTCCCCTGTCCCTGCCTTCCCCCACTCCATCTGAACTGCTCTCAGGTGAAGTAAACACTGGCTCTTACTCACTACAGAAACATTTTCAGAAGTCAACATGAAGAAGGATTTCAGCTGGCAGTGAAGACAGCTGCTGCAGCATAAGTTCTGGTCTGACACAAGGATGACAGTGCAGTACTACAATCTGTAAAATTGGGGTTTTTCGCCTTCTTTTGCTATACTCAAAATATTCATCAAAATAAGTTGACAGTTGAAAGACTTCACCTTGTGCTCAGTCCTTTAGTGTTTTTTCCTAAACTGAAAATAATATGTTTAAGGTCTTTTAGATAGTTTTTTTTTCTGGGACCTTTTGTTAATTTACAAACAGGTGAAATACTGGATTCAAAAGCAGAATCAAGTGTGTAAGTTATCATATTGCCTATTTTGCAACTGTCCATGAAACCTGAAGTAACATATGCAGTGTCCAGCCATGACACAGGAGCAAACTTGAAGGATATGGGAGCAGAACACACTTTTGTAAGAGCTGCAAGGTGCTCTTTTAAGAAATATTTTTATGGGAAGTAGTGTACATGTATTCATCATTTGCAAGTAAGGAAACTAATAACTCTTTGTCCAACAGCCAAAGAGTTTGTCAACTTAAATTCACCAAGATGAACATATGTAAATTCCCTCTTCTTTTATTCTTCAGTTAATTTCTTTTCATCCCCAATTCCTCTGAATTAAATTAGATGGCACATACAGAACAGGTTGGTAACAGTAATAAACCATTGTATTTGGATGGACTGAATACTTACTGCAGTTGTATGAGTTGGGGAACTTGAACTTGTTGGCCAGGAGGGTACAGAATCTGTAGCCGAAGGATCCCAGATGGATGATGGAACATTACTGAATTCATTCCAGTTTCTCTGAACATCCTGCCCATAAGCAGATCGAGCTAAACCGAGCTTGCTAAAAACCTCTAAAAATAAAATGAAATAAAAATGATTACATTACTTTTTGTCTTTTTCCAAGAAAAATACTTTTCACCATCATTTCCTGTATTTTTCTACCTGGTCCTGCTGCAGTGATATTAGACGAGGTCACACAGTAATAAAAATCTCATCTCATGTGACCAGCATCAGACAGGGCCACAAAGTTCATCATGGTTATAGTGGGGAAAGAGTTGAACCCTTGCTGTGGGTAATTCAGTCCAGCCTAAGCAGAGCAGCACTCGGAGTCCTGGCAGTTCTCTGTGACTGCAGTACTCATTTGCCTGGCAGCACTCCCTTCCCAGGTGACTCCTGGTAAGAGGCAGCACTGGGAATGCCCCACCCCAGCTCCATCTCTGCTATGAGAAGGAAGAGAGAGCACCAGCAGTCATGGCTTGCCTGCTTCTCACACACAGAACTGATCCCAGGCATTTTACTGGTGCTCTCAGAGCCACGGGTACCAAGTGTTGCTGATGAAGAAGGAAGAACCCCACAGCAGCAGCTGCCACTGCTTACATTTCCAACAGATATCAAACTTTGCAGTAAATAGCATTTTTTCAGTACACACCAATGCCACATCCAAAGTTTACTTTGCTTATCATCTTTTCAGCCACCTCAAAACACACCACATGTGCCCAAGTACACAGCATCCATGCCCTGCAATCTCAATGCCTGGCCACCTCTATTACATTTATGGAAATTTACTCAAATATTTAAATACATTAATGAATTGCTGGGTTTAGTATGAACCAGTTCAGTGTGCAGCTATACAAATACTGCAGGAAAACACAAGAGGAAAGCAACATGAGGGCTGGGCCACTGCCTCACTTAAAAGAGCCATGGTTTTAAGCAGGTGTTTATGCTCAGGAAACCACAGGCCTACTGACACATTTGTGGGACCTACAGTAAAGCTTTGGGGGAGGGATGGAGAGGAAGAAGACAAAGGAAATAACCCCCAAAATGCAGAAATTTCTGCTGCAGGAATGCAACAGAGAAACTCCAAACCCAAGCATTCTCAGCCCGTCAAACATTCTATGAGATTTCACTAAGTTTCTCTGGAGTGAAACTCAGAATATAACACCAAATTTTTAACAAGTGTTCCTACACAGTCTTCCCTTCAGGAGTGAGGATGGAGACACTGGCTGTATTTAGACAGTGGAACAAAAAAACAACATTTCTCTACCTGTATTTAAATATGGAAAAATATTTGAACAGGAAAACTCACCTCCAGTTAAGTTAAAAGAGTGTCCAAATGCAGAGAAGGAGTTGAGAGGTGTGAAATCAGGACTGCTGGGATTGCTGATAGGACTCCACAAACCCGAACTACATTTTATGGAGCAACAGGAAGGCAATACACTACTTATTAACACAGTACTATTGACAATATTAACTTACTGATCTATATACAAATGTATGTGTATATATATGTTTAGCTATTATATTTATTCATAATCTATTAAAAATATATAGTTAGACACATACTAAAGAAATATTTAATTGCAATCAAGAGTTAGGAAATCAGTTTGGTTTTGTTTTAACAATAGATTTTGGTGATATACATTTTCCTTTGTACACATCCACCTTGGAGTAACACAGTAATATAGACAGTGCTCTTTAATCTGTAGAATGAGTATCAAACAAACATGAGAGTAGCTCTTTTGAGCAGTTTTTCAGAAAACTCATAGAGTCCAAGGCATGGTACAGTTTTTTTCTTAAGGAGGTAAAATTACAGTGACTTGGAAGGGATACAAATAAACCCATGGACAAGCTTCTTAAAAGTAACAGATGCATTAACTGGAACCAAGTGCTAAACATCAACATCCACCAAAACAAAAACTCCAATGCACTAACCTCACTCAGAAAGCATTTCCTTTGCATATGGAAACGTGAATTCAAGTCTCTTTCTTACTCCAGAAAGGTTACTACTTTTTACAACTAACTGCCAAAATGTCAGGAAAGACATGTGCCTCAGGGAATGTGACCGAGTGCAGCTCTGTCCTGCTCCTACTGAAAGCACAAAGCCCATGGAAAGTTCTGGTCTCAGTGTTAAAATGGGAGTGAAAGGCATTTTGCTGTACAGCAAGGTATTCTGCCTGTGACCCTTCAAGTGACCTTGGTACACACTCCTCAGCACTGAGAGAGCCAAGCTGATTTCTCATCGTGTGGATGCCCAGGAACAGAATGTTGAGTTACTCGGAATGAAGAGGGAAAAGCTCCCATCACATCCAGAACATCTCTCTCTCTCTACTTTTGAGTCACTTGCAACTCCTAATCTTTTCTGCAAGGTGAGAGATGATGTGCCTAGACTTTAAAAATAGTTTTAAAAAAGCCTAACCAGAATGAATTCTGAATTCTGTTGAATTCCCTTCAAAATGCCATTAATAGCTCAATCTTCTTTTCTAGGGGTCCAGGTATTTGCCTAGAGAATATAAAAATTACCTGTCAGAGCCATCACTGTCAACAACTGTGTGGGAAATGCTGATATTGCTGGACACATCTGTCTTGCTTGGAGAAACCTTTGGTAAACCACTGCCACCTGTGAAGAATATGTATATAAAAATCAGTAAAATAAACCCCTGCAAAATAATAATATCCAGGAAATATCTGGAATTAATAAGAACTCCAAATTGGTTCCAGTACCTGGACTTTTGTCATAACCTGCAGCTACAGCAGCAAAAGTGGGGTTTCCATTCCTGCCTGGAAGAGAAGCTGCCTTTGCCAGCTTATGTTTGGTACCATTAGGCTGCTTGGTTTTTGTTTCACTAAAATGAGAAAGAAACCAAGAAATGAGGGTAAAAAAGAGTAAGGTTTTGGACCTCAGCAGTTTGATTAAAAAAGCAGCAATTTAAGCTAGTATTCAAGAAAATGTTTATAACAGCTCAACAGTTTCATGTAATTGCACATTTCCACCAATCTACCATATTGTACAGCAAGGCAAGATATGCACAGTAGTGTATCTGCAGAAAAGCAGTTTCCATGGGGAGAGGAAATGGGTCTGAGAATAGGGAGATGCCCCCTGTGAAGCACAGCTCCACAAGTGCTCAGTGCCTGGGAAATCAGTAGGAGGGAGGATCTGGACTCACTTGCTGCAGCTGCTGTTGACGATGCTGCTGTAAGTGCCTCCTCGTGGCCCGAAAGCAAAGGAGGTGGGAGGAGGAGGGGGAGATGGAGAGGCGGGTGTTGGAGAGGGCTGCCGCTGCTTCAGGAAAGCGTCTGCGTTCAGGGTTTGCAGAGAGAGTTTATAGAGGTTGTCTGTGGCTAAAAAAAGAAACACAAAACATCTTCCTGTAGGATTTACATTACAGCAAAGGCTTCTCGAATTCTGCTATCCCTTCTGTTCAAATGGAGGAATTATGAGAAAGGCTGTTTGCTCTCAGTGGTGGAAGCAGCAGCTCCTTCTCTATGTTCACCTATGGTTATTCAGGTCTGCTGTTTATTTTCAGAGAGACTGATTTGCAACACAAACAACCAGGAGGAGGTGAGTTGGTTCCCACATGAGGGATTTACAATGCTACCACAAAAATTTTAACAGTGCCCCAAGTTAACCATTGCAGCATTAAGGTGTTTTTAGTGTTCCCTCTCAAGGACAAATAATCTAATTATTTCCACATTTGGCTGGAGCAGACCTGACCAAGCACAATCCCATCTACTGTAGGAAATACATATTTTTTGAACAGTAATTCTCATTTTCTCAATTTCTCCAGCAGTTTCTGAACCCTGTTCATCAATGGAGAGCTGTGGAGTGACCCATGTTCTGCCCACGCCATTTTCAAACCTCCCAAATCATACCAGATGCTAGCAATATGGGGCCTACAGAAGAAAAATGGAGCTCAGCTATGCAGTGAAAAGGAGACAGATTCTGCCATTGTCTAGTAATTACTTACAGCTGCCAGCTTTGTGGAGAGGGACAGAGTCCCACTCTGGTGGTGGAGAATCCTTTTCCCCTTCTGAGCTGCTGGTGTTTCCTAGCTCCTGTGCAGAACCAGTGGGCAGAAATTTTGCTAATACTGATGGCCTGTTCTCCATTAACTTACTGCTTGGACCTATTAAAACAAAAGAAAAACCAAGTGTGTAGATAATAAACTGAATAGCTTTCTTCTCGCACCAGACACAGAATTAAGCACTGTAAAGGGGTTACAGACAATACTCTTGAGGTATTTACAAAAAAGAGCCTCACACTACCTCTTGTTTTGGGGAGGTTTCTTGATTTAGAGTTACTCGACAAAAGGTGTGGAGTAGAGATCTTGGATGGAAAGGTTTTGCGCTGCTTGTTTTCCAGTGGGGGAGTATAAGACAATTCCAAGGGACTAAAAGAAAACAGAAATTCTTTTATTTCAAAGCTCTTTCAGAAGTACTGAAAAGCACATATATATATCTATACACATACATATTTATATATGACCCACACTGCTCCACACATTGTATTAGGCTCACTCACGTTCCAGAAGCAGCTTTCACCCTGGAGCTCCAGGATCACAAACCCCATTTGATTATACACAGCAACAAGAATGGCAGTTGTCCTTTTTCTCCTCTATCCCTACACACCCCTGTCAGATCCCATGCTCCTAATATGCTATTGCCCTAAATGTACAGGATTATTTTTTAATCAATAACATAAAACTAATCAAATGCAGCACCAAATTCAATTGGCTGTACATTGCTCTTTTTCTCCAGGTATTTGATTCTGTCTCTCTCGTTTCTAGCAGAAGAATTCCAAGCCAGCTGTCATTGTGGCTTTTGAAAACTCACACGTAATGAACTTGTGAGTTATAAGAGAAAGCAAAGTACATAATTGTAAGAATAAATAAGGAGGAGACTTTGCCAGGCAATGTTTTCAGAAACATTTTGAAGAACATTAATTTCTTCCAACTATAAACTACAGCAGTAAAAATACAGCTGATACATCATACCCCCATTTAGTAAAGTTTACTTTTGTGGCACTTGGATACCAATCTGATTTCACAATACTATTTTGGAATGAACTAGCTATAGTAAGGCTAAGATTCTTCATGTTTCCCCCATCTATGCTCTGCAATCAACCACATGCCAGCAAGGGACAGGGACTGGCAGTGGCAGCAGCCTCCTTTAATAAAGTATCCAAGACTGACGTTACTGATATGAAAAAGGAAACTGAGGCTGCAGTTTCCCAAGGGCAGCTAAAGGCACTCACATTAATGCTGGCTCAGTGTGCTGCCCCTAGAATAATTAACCCCACTTTTGGTATGCAATACCTGTTATAAAAACCTTAACATCGCGTTGCCTGATTTTTATCACTGGATTTAGCTCTCACTGTGTGTTGTTTCCATTAAGTAATTTATTATTTGCAAGCTTCAGATATTCCCTGACATCAGGAAGGAAGAGGAAACTGCTTAAAGGTACCTGCTGGTGGTGTTTGCCAAACTGGCAGCTACAACAATCAAATACAGGTATTTTTATCAATCCATCTTCCCTTTAAACATGATACTTTCCCTACTAAACAGACTTCATTATGCTTACCTGGTTTTCACATCTACAGGGATTTCTTTCTTGATACTTGTAAGCAATTTTTTGGTTTTCTGTTTTACTGGGACTATTTCATTTTCAGGTTTTTCTGCTGTAACTTTTCCCTTTTGTTTCTCAGGTTCCTATAAAAGACATAATGACACATTAATAATCAAAAAAGCAAAGTCCCTCTTGCATCAGAACACATGTGAAAAAAGAGGGCAGAGGAAAGAATGCTGTTGGAAAACATGAGCATTTTTGCAGTACTGAAGGTCTTTTTTCATGACTTAATGAGTTAATTTTTTTTCTATTTAGAGAAGCAGAAATGGAAATAAAAAATGAATGAGCTTCCAGCAAATCTATTATTTGCAAATACACAGCTCCTCTGGCCACGACCTCTGAGTCTATTTAATATGATGCTAGCTCTGTATTTGAGATCTTTACTGCATCTGCTGCATGCTGTCCAGGCCACTTAAAATAGACTGTTCAACAAAGCAAATAATATGAGCAACTTCACCATTCAATTTATTATTTTCTTTAACCACACTTCTAAGACTTTTTGAATACAAGTATATTCTCCTGAAATAGCCATCCTAAAAAAAACAACAGTAACTTTCAAGTGACAACTTACTAAACTGTAATCTTTAAAATATATCCCATGGATTTCTTTTTTCCCACAGCCATAATCCCCGTCTTTCACAAAGTTCAAATTTAAGATACCAAAGTTTAGGATTAGTTTTCTTCCATTTGGTATTACATCTCTTTTGTTGGTCAGAGTTTGCTTTAGGACAAAATATTTATGACAATCCAACCACTACACAAATTGTAGAAATTAGTTTATTACCTTGGAGCATGTGAGCTGAATAAGTTAAGTAAAGGCTTAACTTAAGTTAACTTAAGCCTTGTATAAGGTAACTAAGTTAACTACATGCTGACAAGTTACCACCATTGATCTGAGCCTTCAAACTACCAGAAGTCATGATTTAGCATGCACCTTAATTACTGAATGAAATTAGCATCCACACTTTGGCATTTATTCTGCAAATAGAGAAGGCCAGGAGATAATTACCACAATGCTACTGACAGCTGCTGGCTAATTCAAGTCACAGTCACCTGGGCATTTTTAGTCCTGAGACTACAGGGCTCAAGCACGTTCACACTCAGAGGTGCAGATTTGATACAGTAAAGGCAGGAATCAGGACAGCTGCTTTTTAATTAACATTCTTCCTTTATTAGGTATTATATGAGGATGGTGTAGGGGACAGAGAGACTGTGTTCCTACTCCAACAGGTGACACACAGCCACACAAGGGCCTCCTTTTCTCAGCAGTGCCTTACCTCTTTGAGAAGTGGTTCTGTATCTGGGTTGGAGGTTTCGGTTGTGGTTGAAGAACTGTCATCATCTGCCAAGGAATCTTTCAGCTCATCCTCCTGTTGCTTTCCTTTCCCTCTTCTGTCCTTTTCTTCCCGCTTCTTCTGTGGCTTAGTCTTGCGCTGAATAATTTTCCCTTTTCCTAGAAAGATAAGAATGCTTCAGATGCTCAGCAGCAGTGCTCAGACAGGAGAGTTTCCTTCATTTCAGAGGCTGCCCCATGTGATTAAGCCTCTGAAATTTGTTGTCTGTTATGACACACAAACTACTTTTTCCCCTTTGCACCAAACGTGAGCAAAAGAAGAACCCTAATGACCACCCCATTTATGCTCCTGAGCTGTGTCCCCACTGCTTCTCTGTGGATGTGGGCACCTGGTTACCTATAATTCCTTTCTGTTCTGCCCCTGGCATTCCTTTTAAACAGCATAGACTCCAATTTGACAGTCTAACCACATAATATTACATTTAAACATAAATTTCTGAGGATGGCAAAAGCTCTATCATCCAAACAAATGAAGAACAGAAATGATCACAATGCTTGCCAGTTGAAAAAAACCCGAAGAAAATACAAACCAACTTGAAATAAGACCAATGTGGATGAGAAAAAGCACTAACAGTATTTGTCTAGCAAAGAGGTAAAAAACTGAAATTACCAAAACCTCAAAGTCTCACACCCAAGTATATTTTCTCCTCCTGGCATACTTTATTCCTTCAGAGTGGACTATTCTCAATACAAAGCAACTGTGCATGTGTGTGTGCAGTCTTCATGAGATTACCATTGCCTGCTGCTGTACTCTCACAGGATTTGAGCTTTCACAACAGTCTTATGTCTTACTAGCTGTAGTATGTGCCTTTACTCATAGGCTCCTTCTAAGATATTGCTCTTCAAAATAAGCACTC